TTTAAAGGGCTGGTAACCCGTTGGAGGTCCGGGGATAAGAAAAAAAACACTCAGTTTTTGGTGGTAGTTGCTTTAGGGCCGACCTCTTCCAAAAACAGGAGAAAAAGAAAGCGCTCCACCTGGTATAATTGGCCGAGATCTATCGGATTTGGAAGCTCACAGGAGGGCATCGTGCGCAATGAGTCTAGGCGCGTGATCAGTTTCTCTCACAGGATTGGACCCGACTAGGCCCCCAAGCCTATTGGATGGGTGTAATTAATGTCTCTGAATGTGACAATCACTAAAAAAGCTTATCACGCAAATTCATGCCAACGTGATTCCAGAATTCCAGAACACCCTGGTAGAATTGTGCAATGCTTTCCCAAAGCAAACGAATCCCAGGGGAGAAAAGCTCGCAATCGGTGGCTTACATGTGACCCGTGTACTCCACCAGACACAGTTGGGGCCCCACCCCAAATCGATGAAGCTGCGAAACTGTTCCAATACTGTCCATCGTGTGTTGCCTTGTTGCACCTGTTGCAGCCCGTCCACAAAAACGGTACCGTGTGCTCGATGAAACAAGCCAACCACTCATTGACGTACATTGATCATGATGATTTGGCAAGTGATCTAATGCAAAAGGAACAAACAAACAAAACAATCAGACTGTAACTCACGGGGAAAAACAAACTCGTTTGTCTATCTACTTGAGAATCCACCATGTCCCCCAAACGAGAGACAAATGCATATGTTGTGAAACAATCATTATATTTCCTTCGGGCGCCAATGATGAACCAATGGTGGTTTCGCAAAGTGCAAGGCATGCACAAAACCAATCTCGCATCTTCAGAGCATACTGTACCACTCGACCCTGTTGGCTTGTGACATACAGTTTGCCCGAAGGTTGCCCCAGCCATCTCTTTTATCGCGTCAAGTTTAAACTGGCATCAGTGGTAGGTTGAAGGGAAACAACGCCAGTTTCTCACTTGGACCCGCCTCCAGAAACGGTCAACAAATGATGTCGGTTGCAGCGCCAAATTTTGCACATCGCCCTCTCGACGGCTGAGTTTCTGGCCAAGTCGCCTGGCAATGCTGGAAAAGCCAAGAGACATTCGTCTGTCACGCTAATTGCCCAGTGACTCCAACGGAAAAAGACTTGGAAGAAAGAAAGCCTTTTTGGCTGTCCCAACCCTTTTGGTGCCAGGATGGTCAAGATCATTTTAAGTAGGCAACTAACCAAAACAGGGGATTTGGAGACTGGATTCCACTCACAAATGATGGCCATCTATCTGCACTTGCTCGTTTCTTGGCAGTGGCTCAGTGAAATAAGTGGAACCCGGTTTTAGGGTTGCTCTTTTGTGGTGGGGAAGCTACCCAACGAAAAGGAAATGAAAGGTTGAACAAAGTGGTTTAGGCCGGAAGTTCTTGAAGGACTCTGCTTGTGGAGACATACTGTGGATGGACGAAATCCTGCACCACCAAAGAAACCTGGAATGTGTTTGATTCCCCTGTAAATACAAACAATGGTTTCAACCATGGTTTCAATGTCTGGATTTCTTCCATCCACTCAGAGTTCTGTACGGTGACAAGTTGTGTAGGACTGATGCTCACGGCGCAATCGACAGAAAGCCAGAAGCTCTGTCTGGTCACGTAGTTTTGCCTAAGTCCCCTGAAAACAATAAACAGGGCTGGAGTGATAGATTCCCTTTCAAACTAATGAGGACAAACAAAAACACCAATTTTCGGCAGCAAATGGAAGCTGTAAAAAAAAACACAAAAAACACACTCAACTGATGCACTTGGCGGAGTGTCATTGCAACATATTGCAACCATGCCTAAAATTGTCACCACGAGATCACAGGCCAACAACTCCGACCACCGCTATCACAACGAGGTCAAAATGTACAACGGGTGCCAAAAGGGTCCAAGGTAAGTCACATTAATTCCAAAGGTTTGCAAATAGAACAGAGTGGGCTGCTTCCTTCTGGGCAAATAGAACACATTCAAGAGCGATTTGGCACCCAAACAGCCTCTCCGATTTGACCGCTGCGCGAAACAACGACTGGAGTGCCTCTCGCCATCCCCAGGCGTCACCTGCCGGTCGAACTGCCCCTCATGAGAGTCACAATAGGAACCTGGCATCAAACTGGTCTACCCAAAAATCCAGGTAACAGAATGAAAGGACGGCCACATCTAGATAGGGTTGGGGCGGTCATCAACTAACCTTGATCTACCCAATTCTGATTATAGCTCATGTCCCCCTCAAGTAAAAAAAGACAAACAATAGGGCTCCCAAGAAGACCCCAATACGGTGCCAAATGGGGCCCCTGTCGGGGCCACTTGGTTCTATATGACCCTTTCGGTGACATGCTTCAATGGAGGGCGCTTCAAAAGCATAATGCAAGGGACACTAGCCACACCCATTGTTTAAACATCATGCAACAAGAGACAACTGTTTGCTAGTTGAAAGGGAATATGGAGGAACACTAAACAAAAAACGTTGAACAGGTATTGATGGGCCATATTGTGAGCAAGCCATCCAACGTTGAAATGGCAGTGATAGTGATAGTAGACCAAGCAAGTACAGCAATAGGTGTTCCTACCCTGCTTTTTTATAAGAGGATCCTCTAACTCAGGTTGGTACAGCTTTGCTACTGGCCTGGCCGAAACGCGCGTGTGTGTGTGTGTGTGCGCGTGTGTGTTAAGATAGGAGAGCCAAAAAATGTGGTTCCGTACTGTCAAACACCACAAACACACACACAGACACACACACACACAGACACACACACACACACAGACACACACACACACAGACACACCCACACACAGACACACACACACACACAGACACACGCACACACACAGACACAGACACACAGACACACAGACACACAGACACACAGACACACAGACACACAAACACACAGACACACAGACACACAGACACACAAACACACACACACACACACATACCGCAAAACAAAAAGGAGCATCCACACAACATGCACACAACATACCCACAACAACACAAAATCACCAAAAAAGAAGCATAACCACCAAAACACACGCACACAAACATACAACAACACAAACACAATGCACAAATACGCAAATACGCAAATCCGCAAATAAACAAAAATAAACAAACAGACACAGACACACAAACACACAAACACACAACCATACAAACGTACAAACATACAGACACAAACACACAAACACAGCGACACACACACACACACCACACGCAAATGTATCCTTAAACCTCCATTTGCTTGCAGTTCCTGCAACACTAAAATTATGTCTAGGGACAAATTCCCGTAAACTTCAATCACAGCCTACGGGAACCATACACAACCTCACTTTCCCTTGTCGGACCTGACAATAAAAGGTTAATAACCTTTTGGAACCTTGACTAAAAAATGGGCCAAAATGAGAAAACAGAAAACCAACAGGTCAAACGGTGAAGTGGGGGCGTCACTAAACATGGACCAAAATGAGAAGAACCACTACGTCCCCCCCCAAAACGCTACTGGCGAGATCCCCGGCCTCGGGGCGTGCGGGAGGCGCATCGCATGGTTTGCACGAGAAACGGATTCGGCGCGAGAGAAGCCGTGGGCTGCGGGAAATGAAACAACATGTACGGTTTAGCCCGAAAAACTGAACAGAAGTCCGCGTTTCAGGTGAAGACTCGTGCTTTAGCTGAAGACTCGTGTTTTTGCGAGGCCGAGCAGTGAGGTGCGCTTTTGAATCTGATTGTCAGAGCTTTGAATTGACTCAACCCTCCTGAGTTGCAACCAGTGACCCGCAGAAAAACGAAGGAACCCGTAAGGAAAAAAGGGGGCAATCCTTCTTAGAGATGATCGGCTCTAGAAACACATCCCCCACAAATGGCAAAGAGTTGGGCCCGGTGTCTGGTATATGAACACCTCTCTGAAATGTCCACTCATAGCGATTCGTCCGAGTCGAAATGCAGCGGACATCAATGCACATGCGAGGCCTCGCATTTTCAGAATGGCCAAGTGCAAACCCTGCCTTGCCAAAGCGATGCCAGCTTCATGATGGATCATTGATAAGCTTCTGGATTTTCAGAGGCATGGTTCAGAGAAAAAAAAAAAAAAAAAAAAAACATGTGTCCCAGCAATCTTTAGCCCTAGGTGGCCTTGTGGAGAACATGATGGCACCGGTCAATGTTTGAAAGCAGCCCATCTACTTTCAACCAAACTGACTTTAAGGACACCCAGGCATGTACCTGCACTTTTTACCACAATTCCAAAATGTAAAACAAGGGATTTCTAAGTACAGCAGGATCTGCAGCATAGGTATTATAAGCTCATTTTACCCCACCATATACACAAGCCGTTGCACGTAGCCAACCCCCTTGCCAAAAAGCGCCTTGCGGCAACCCACGGCAAAGATGAAATGTACAACTCACATGGGAAGCCCGAAGCTGTGGGTTCGGCAAAAGGAGAGGCCTCGAAGCCTGATGACTTGAGGTGCTATATCAGTCTGCAGGAGTTTAGGCTAGATGATTTTAGGCAGTACCCGTAAGAACTGGAAATCCAAAACACACAGAAAATGCTCAGCATGCAAACTTCAGGTCCCAAACTTGTACGGGTCAAAACTCTCGAGAAATAGCAGAAAGCCCAAGGAAAATTATGATCAACCAAACAACATGAAAGGAAAAGGAAACTATCAAGTTCACCAGGAGCAACGAGTTGGTTCAAACCTGCGAAAACAAGAACGGAGCTGATATCCGTGGTCGAAACTGACAGGAACTCCAACACACAAACAAAGACAAGCCAGACGCAAGCACAATGATAAAACTATGCTTTCAACACACAATTGCTGGAGAATTGCCGCACTTCTTCAGTTGGTCCAAAAAGAGTCCAAGCTTTTTGCTTACCACTACACTGGTCTTCCCTACAAAAAGTGCTAAAAAGGAACACAGGGAGTGAGTTGCGGCAATTTCCGTGGTTCCTCACCCTTTGAACCATTCCAGGTAGCACAAAAGGCTGGGCCTCGTAGATCTGGGCGGCCGAGGGCCGATCTGGGGGGTTCCAAGCGAAGCAGGGCCCCAACATCTGCCCCACCTGAGCGAGAGAAGGGAACCTGCCTGTCCAACCCGGTGCCACAAAAGTTGATAACCAGGATAAGCCAGCATGTAAAACATGTAAAACTTGCAGGCAACAAACAACCCTGCCTACTGTAGTGGAAACTGGAAGCGCCGGGCAAGCGGGGCAAAATCTTGAATGCAATGCACTTTTTGCGTGGGTCATTGAAAAGGCTTGAGGGGACGTTTTGCAATGAACGTCCAGTATCAGACTTGACATAACCAGGGTACTGGCTTTGGGTGGACCATCTCTTCTGGCTTTCAAAGGTTCAGGGGTAGCGAATCTGGGTGCTCCGCAAGCTTCTCGTTTGGCAATATTGCTGGGTATTCATACTATGACCAATTTTGGACGCCCTGCAAAAGAGATAGGACAACCCAACGCTTTGCCCACATCTGGGGTACGTACTCCAAAATCAGATTTCTAATTATGCTTCATATTTACACTCCTGTCCACTAACCAGGGAACCTGAAGTTTCGGGATCCTGGCTTGGACCATTTTCCATTAAAATGGACGGTTTCTCTATATCTCTGGTGGGCAACCCATGGCAACCTGGACAGCAGGGTAGTTAACCTCCAAAATTTGACATGGAGGCCAGTTATCCAAATGAAACGCAAACAAACAACTTTTGCGCAATTCCAAACTTGAAGCTGATGATCAACAAGCCGAGTTGGCGTCCCGCCCCGGAACCCTTCCGAAAACTTTCAGGACTCATAGCGGAGCCGAAAGGAACCGCTGTAGAGCCCCTTTCGGCGGAGACCCTGCTGGGGAAAAAAGGACAAACATCTGAAGCCACCATGGTAAGGACTGAAAACGCTCATCAAACACCTTGGCCACAAATCCTCAAAGGGATGATGATCCCCGAGCCAAACATCAACAGGCGCAGGATCCCCAACGTGTTCTGTGTGGCTTTTGTTCATTCAAGGCCCATGGGTCTGTGCCCACAGTGCCAAATCTGACGTCCGCCATGCCCAAAGATTGGTCATCCCTTTGACTAGTTGTCACTTCCACGGGGTTTCCTTGGTGTCACAGAAGTGTCCCTAAACTCAAACTGTCCATGCCCTTGCTCTCTGTTTGGCGCCAATATGCTCTTCTCAAAAGAGTTCAAAGCCCGGAACCTTCAGTGAGAAACTTACTTGCACACAAGAAACGGTCATGTTTGGTTGACTCGTCCGATTGAACGGAAAAAATATGGAGTAATTCTAAAAGGGAGACACGTCAAAAAGGAATAAGCGTAGGAGTCCGTTGGAACAAACAAATGGCACTGGGCAAATTGGAAGAAACTAGGTCAAACGCTAAATGCGTACGTCCATACGGGTGTGTCTTCTTTGGGGGACCCCTCCAGAATGGTCGGTTTCCCCTTTGAGCCTCCCAAAAAGGGTACCCTCCCAAAACCACAGACCCACATATGAACCCCTAGTTTATGGGGGACTTTAGCTATATAGGTTCGCTGGTGTTCTGTAGGAAACAAAACCCCCCCTCCCTCAAAGACAACATGACAATCAGAATCTCTTCAGGAGCTCAGAATCGTTTTGGTTTCCCCTTCAAGCAATCCAAAAAGGACCCCCAGAGATCCATACAGTCGTTGAGAAGGACCCCTATTCGGGCAACTGGACAAAGTATCGCACCTGCCTCCGGATGATAGGCATTCGCCCAATCCTCCTGAAAAAACAACTGTTCCGAGTGTGTGGTCAAAAAAGTGAAAGTACTTCCATCCCAAGCAAGAGCTCTCCTGGAAAAATGAAAGTATGTCCAATATAGTTATCGAATGCCATTAAAAGTTACAGGGGAAAAGAAGCAACCTTCTTAAGCAAATGGAAGACAACTGTTGCGAGTGTGCCAAGGTAGGAAAATCAAAAAATGATTGCCTTAGTTGGCACCCTCATAATTGTTATGATGGTTGTCAAAGTTCCCTATTAAGGTAGACCATCCATGCCAACCCCAGGGAAAGTTGGTTTGGACCGTGGCACGTGTGGAAAAACAGGTGGTTGTTCAAAGTCAAGATGGTGGTATTGAGGGATTTCGCGCTTTTGCTTCAAACTGTATGCATTGCCTCTAACATCAAGCCGGCAATGAAGTTGGGCGACGCTGTGTTGCTGACTCCCCCAACCTGTTTCTTGGCCAAAAGATGACATGAAGGGGAGGGGGTCCCTTCATCAGGGGGGGGTCCCTTTTTAGTGGGGATTCCGTTTCTTCCAGTGGGCCCTGCATTTTTTTCGTGTGGGGGGTATTGGTCAGGGGTCGACATTGGTCTCAACAGGAAATGAGGGAATCACGCCTACAGACCCATCCCAATTGGCTCCATCCCACCAAAACACATATTCTCCGATGCTTGTGTCAATTTTTGGGAAACACCGGTGGCCTGGTAGATGTCTCAACCTGTAGGTTTCCAGATGGGTATGTGACCGGTATGCGTCATTTCTTTTGGACCAGAAGACCGATGGTTTTAGTCCATGTTTCCATTTGCCAGTTCCACTCCCATTTTTCACCCGCAGCCATAGTCGGTCTACTGAAATGTAGCATTGTTTGGAGGAGACCTCACATAATAACCACATAAGAACCGACCCACCTACCATAGAGGTCGAAATAATTGGAATGGGGTTATTGGGTATGTGAAAACCATATTCAGGCATGATTTCAGGGGGAATACCACTACAGCAATCATTCAGCACGTTGCACTACCAATTTGGGTTGGTATTTCATGGGAAACCAAACGGAACAAAACAAAGCAAGCTTGCCATTTTAAGGGGCTGAAATCAAACACCCACATTGATATCTATTTTGGGGTACCTATATTTTTGGGGTCTGGTGTTTGAATGGAAACCAAGGGTTGAAAACCACAACTTTTGCAGAGTCCACCCTATTTTAACTAAGATGCCAAGCCATGGATCCCCAAGAAAAGTTCCAAAAAACGGGGCGGAATCCGCTGGGCAACTGGGCCAAGACGCGCCCAAACGCCCCTCGGCTCGGCAAAAGATCCTGGAAGGGCAGCTGCATTCGGACCAACAGCTTTGTGGCCACCTGCGAAGCGCGAGAAATCCGTCGAACGTGGGGATGGGATTTTCGTTTTTGAAGGGGTTGTCTTCAAGGGCAAGCTTCTTGGGGGGGTGTTGTCTTCTTGGGGGGATGTCTTCTTGAGGGGGTTGTCTTCAACTTGTGTTTTCAGATTCTTCCTAATTGGTGCTTTGGCTTAGTGAAATTGGTGGTGAGAGGCTGGCTTTCCGTTTAACCTTTCCAGGCAAGTGACAAGGGCACCAATCCAAACCGCCAAGGGGAACCTGATGCTTGCTATACCGAATATGTAGAGGACTACGGCCGCCCTTGTTGCTTCAACTCTCTCGTAGGTTGGCCAAAGTCTGAACTGTCTTACCGCAAAAGAGTCCAAGCGCAAAGTGCCCGAAGCCCAGAAACTCAGGAAGAGAGTTAAAGAGAAACCAAAAGCTTATGGTTGGACCAGATGAGACAAAATGGCAAACACCCACATTGACATGGAACGCAACAAACATGTCAGAGGAATCTACTGCCCTTCTCCTCTTGGGGGTGGGAAACTCCCCCTTTTACGCCGTCAATTGGATGGTAAAACTGAGGATGTCACTTTAGATTTCAACGTGGCAATATATCTTCCAGGGCGTTTCTCAAAATAACGGGTCTCCTGTTTGGGTGGTCTAAGAGGAGACCAAAAGGACACTGACAACCTGAAAGGGGTCCTTAACAAAAGGAAATCGCCTGAAAGGGTCCTTAACTTCAAGAAACCCCATTTCACATTCTGAGCCACGGCCCGAGCAAAAACGAGCCATTGCAACCTGTGACAAATGATCCGACTTGGGAGGACCCAACTCGATCCCAAGTGGAGCAGTGCTCGGGGCCATATCCCTTTGGCTCCGTTGAAACTCTCCGAGTCGAAGGTACCTTGATCCTGAAACAGGCAACTTGGGCTCTATTAGAAAGGGAAATTTGGAAGGAAAGACACTTGCCCTAAGACCCTTGGGGTTGTGTGGGAATGTGCCAGAGGGGGGGGAATGAATTAATGAATGAATGGAATGGAATGGAATGCAATGGAATGGAATGCAATGGAATGGAATGCAATGGAATGCAATGCAATGGAATGGATGAATGCATGGATGAATGAACGAACAAATGAATGAAATGAATAAACAAATGAACAAATGAGTAATGAACGAATACATAACATAATGAAACATGCCCCTTTTCTGGCGCATCATAAATTGCGGACGCCGAACCGGCTTTCGATGCGCATGAAAACGGAAACCTTTGGCGATGCCGAACCGGCGATGCCTGCTGGATGTTGATACACTCCTCGTGAGGGTTGCGACTGGTGAGCACCTGGCACGTCGCGTGTCCGCGAGCCGCAAGCAACCGCAAGCGAGCGAAGGCTTCTGAGTGCCTGGAGTCTCCATGACCGTTTAAAAATAGGTCCATGACCCTTTATCTTGATTCATGGCCCCATTTTTTAAGGGTCATCGAGACTTCTGAGTGGAGCGAAGGTCCCAGACAGGCCCCCGTTGGGCACAACAGTTTCGTCGCTTCCGAAGGGGATTGGCCCACACAAGTCCCAGGATCTTGGCAATTAATTTGGTCTTGCCTACGGGGCTTTGTATGGAGGGCTTTCACCCAAATCCTCAGAAGGCATACTCACAATCCGTTGGGACCCGTCCTTACACCCCCCAAAAAACCAAAGCCGAGGAACCTAGTAAGTCAGGCCCCCCTCCAGACCGGGTTCCTCAAGCTGGGGCCAAGTGATTTAGGATATGTGCCAAAACAGGGAAGCCCAAAAAAGGTTGTTGTTTTCCTGTGGTTCCCCATTTAATGTAAAACATGATACCCTCAAAAACGACACATGCATGCACACTTCAGCGCCACTTGTTGCTTGCTTGCAGTGAGTCAGCTTGGATACAACTGCAAACAAACAAGTACCATCTACTTCCAATCAAAAATACCAGAAAGAGGCCTGGACCTAGAGTAGATTCGCTCACTCATCTGCTCCAGGGGTGCGGAGCCCTGAGAGAATTCGGCCGAATCCGATTGCCAGGGCTGGTCTAATTGATTCTGGCTGATTCGCCAGCGAGCCTTCACATGCAGTATTGCTTGTGCCCCCTGGGCTTAGTGTCACTGGTTCTAAAGTGACGTCCTCAAACCAATCCTCTCCAAATCGTGGTCTCAAGGGGGTTCCCACCCCCAAACCAAATCCTGTTGGCCCTCCTCTACACCAACCTGACAGATGTTCGGTTTCTCATATCTCGTCAATCCCAAAATCATGAGCTCATTTTGGAGCGAAAACCAGCGACAAGGCCGGATGGCTATTGCCCCCTGCCCAGAAGCCTTAACTTGTTGAAACTGAATGGGGAAACCACGCATTTTGCACAACCAGTGAAATATTAAATATCCAACCTGATAGCAACCAAGAAGTGAGAGACCTGTTTTCTTGTATAATCAACAACTTAAAGGTTAAGCATCCTACCCCAAAGAACGGGAAAAACCACAACACAACGCAGATCTGCGAAACGTGCTCGCGCACAAGCGATGCGGAAGCGGCGCCGCCTCCACTGCCAGGCAGCCCAGGGCCCAAATGTCCAGCTTCTCAGTGAGCTTCCCCCGGCCATCGAAGAGCTCAGGAGCCATGTACCTCCGTCGGATTCGTCGGTTGGGCTGGGGGCGCGTCTGAAGGTCTGACCCGGTGCCTCCAGTTGCTTGGGTGGTGACCAGGAGAAACCATGATGTAAAACCTGTAGAGATAAAAATGCTTGGTTACCACAATTGAGCGGGAATTGGAAGCACTGATCATCTCGTTGACATTGGGGCCCGTCAGAATTGCAGTCCGGACAAGCTTGGTTGGATATTCCCCAAGAAAACGCTCCGAAAAAAACAGCGGGCCAGTTTGGGTTTCCTCCCGGGTTTCCAGGTGTGCGTTTTGGGATTCCTGGGGTTCCCTGCCTAGGAGAGCCCGCTTCCGCCTCTCGCCGACTGATGTGGGTCCTCTCCATGCACCTCAGTGTTACACCCCTTGGTTGGGATTTTCCCTGTGCCTCACCTACCTGAGTTTTGATCTGCAACTACCCGCTTTCTGCTGGGAATATTTTTACATGAGGCTTGCCTGGAAGCACTGTGTCTCAAAACGGGGATTGGTCCCTAAACATGGAGTTCGGGTGTTTCTTCTGGCTTCCCTTTAAAGCAACCTCAAGGGTAGCTTTCGCAACAACTCTCCCACCAAGAAAACCCCCGTGGCCCACTGTCGGCTCCCTCGCTTCCAAACTCGAGGAGGCGGCTCGGTGATGCCGAGGTCGCAGAGCTTCACGTTCAGCTCCAAGTCCAACACGACGTTGGCGCTCTTCAGGTCGCGATGCACAAACCTTGAGTCTCGAGTCGAGGGAGGCGAGGGAAGCTGAAACCCCATGACCGTTCAGGCACGGAAGTCTCCATATGCGCAGAAAGAAAGAAAGAAAGAAAGAAAGGAAGAAAGAAAGGAATAAAGAAAGGAAGACAGAAAGACAGAAAGACATAAAGAAAGAAACAAAGAGCAAAATAAATGAAGAAATCAAGAAAGAAGAAAGAAATAAAGAAAGAAGGAAAAAAAGAAAGAAAGAAAGAAAGAAAAAAGAAAGACATAAAGAAAGAAGAAGGAAAGGAAAACAGAAAGAAAGAAAGAAAGAAAGGAAGAAAGAAAGAAAGAACGAAAGAAAGAAAGAACAAAATAAATAAATAATCCTGGTCGTATGGGTACGCGGGAAGAGGTATGCATCCGGAAGAGATATGCATCCGGAAGAGATGCACTAACTGCCTGGCGGGATGGCATCTGATTGCTCGGAATAGCCACAGGATGGACTTGCTGCCGACAAATAAAGAAAACGGAGGTACAGGACCTTGCATCAGGCGCTCGTTGGTCCCCTCAGCTTGTCTCGCAATCTTCCCTCCGAGACGGTGAGGGGTGCTCCAGTCGGTCCAAACCCCAACGGGCTACGCAAATTTCGGGCTCGGGGAAACCACAGCAATTACCTACCCCTGCCTAGGTGCAAGGGGGGTGGGTAGTTGAGAGCTCCAGGGTTCCTTCCGGTTGGCTCCCTTGGGTTGCTTCGGGAAGGTTCAAGTTGGGATCCAAATCTACACAGCGGTTCAAGAAAGATCTCATGAGAGCGGCGCCTGTGCGCCCAGTGACTCTTGGTTCTAGTAACATGGTTGTGAAGGCTTATATGTGTTACTATGACCTGTTATGAAATCAGGTGGTAGAACTTACTGACATGGCCAATGACTTTGGGCTCTGCTCAGTATCAACTGCTGAAGCTGCGCAGACTGCAAAGTCTCTGTGCTCGATTCTTAGGCGGCAACGGCGGCCGTCGACCATGTAGAAACCTCAAAGTGGCTGCTGCGCTCATGTTCAACATAAGTGAACTTGCACACCTCAGCTTTCGCCTGCATTCAAAGTGATGTCCCATATTTAGTAGATCTAACAAATGTAAACAACCCCCAAAAAAAACATAAAACTAACTTCCGTTATAAACCTCAGCGTTAACAGGTCTAAAACCTTCCCAACCCGCCTCAAGGCTACTTGAACCCTTTGAGTTTGACTCCCATGAAACTAACCATGTCACTTTGGTGATTCCTCGCAATTCAATCTCCCACAGGTCTTGTCTCAAAAAAAGGGAACCCCCTAAATTCCTTTTGGTGTGCCTAAATTAAAAACAACAAAACAATGGGTGCACTCAAGAATGAGAGACCCAACAAAGACATATGATCTCCTTTGCCATCGGGGTGTCATTCTCAGGATCCAAGGAAAAACTTTGGATCCTTTTGGCGGGAGCAGAGCGGAAAGATTGAGCCGATTTTCTGTGTCTGTCTCTCTTTGAGAGGGCCGCGTGTCTGGTGATTGTGGAAACGCAGCGTTTTGGGGGACACAGATCATCCATGTAAAGAACTACATCACATTTCATGAGTCGCTCACAACCCATTTCACCACTGCATCCACAGTCATGCAACACATTGTTCCTTTCATCCTGGGTCCTTTCATCCAGGGTCAAGTTACTTTGAATGAATTCTGGAGGGCCATGAAAAGTAGGTATTTGTGATTGGGCCCTCCTTGCTTCTCTCTGAAGTGTACAGTGCAACACCAGGTCATTCACCAGAAGCAGTCCTGCCTATTGCCAGATGTCGCAACGCCCGTGACACCAGGGATCCAGCACGACCCCCTCGGTCATTTGCAGGATGACCTTCTTCTTCTGCGCCTGGCTTCTCGAGGCACCAGGCCACGCTAGCACAACAGTAATGGGTACCGCCTACTATGGGTCCTGCACTTCGCTGAACAGTGTGAAATCCTAGCTACAACCTGCGCAGGGGTCTTGCAACCAGACAATCTGCGTACTCACAATATGCAGCTTTTCAACGGGTATATTTTGAACAACGGCCTGAACCCTCAAACCCACCTTGGAGGCCTCGTTGTACCCTCAAGGAGGTACGTCAACCGCTGTTAACCCCTCCTATAGAAACATTTAGCAACATCATCCATCCCCCAATGGCTGCCCGAGCCCCAAACACAGCCCAAAGGTCACAAAACTAAAACCATTTGACAGCCGTTGGGGGGTTCAAGTCAAAGGATCTTCAACCCCAAAGAACCTCCCCGCCAAACCATCCTCCAGCTTCAGAAGGAGCCCTGACTTATGGACGTCCCAATGGTGACCCCCTCATAGTGGAATCCGTATGCAACCAACTTGCGAATATGGGCGTGTCTTGTTTTGGAGTTGGTACCCCGTTTTTGGGCGGTAATGGGAAGCCAAAACGGACAACCATACCTTTGGGGGGCTCTCCTAAAGAACACACACCCATATCTAAGTTTTCCTGCGACCACACCTTTCGGAGGACACAAACATCTTTGTGGTGAGGGGAGTTCCTTGCTGGGTCAAAGTGACATCCCGAAAATGGCACTCTAAATGGATGTTTTAAAGGAAAGCTTGTTGATGGATCCAGCTTTTGGGCTGGTTTCAAGGACAACCAAAATGGAAACGGGTTTGGATGATCCAGGCGACAACGCAAGCGCGGCGCTCATAAGAAGGCAGCGCCCAAAACACATGGTTGTAAAGGGTATTCAATAGCCATGTCAAAACCCATACCAAACCAAGTAGTAACTTTCACTTGTCCAACCCGTTGTTTGGGTGGACCTCGTCTTTTGCTTTGCCACCAAACATGTCTTCCCAAACAGAGCCCAGGAACTCAGGGAGTGAACAACATCACAGGAAATGCTCGTATAAGCAGCGCATGCGGGTTGTACTCAGATAGCTACGAAGGTCTGTGTCCATCTCTGTCTGTCCCTGTCTGTCTCTGTCAGTCTCTGTCTGTCCCTGTCTGTCTGTCTGTCCCTGTCTGCCTGTCTGTCTGTCTGTCTGTCTCTCTGTCCCTGTGTGTTTGTCTGTCTGACTGTCTGTGTGTCTCTGTCTCTGTCTCTGTCTCTGTCTGTGTCTGTGTCTGTGTCTGTCTGTCTATGTTTTCTTTCCTTGCGAAAACGATGTCGACCTCATCGTGCACATTGGCATCGTAGGAAGCACATTGGCCCTTCACTGCTAGGAAGCCGTGGCGACGCATGCGGCTCACAACCTCGCCTGGGCTGAAGCTATTTGTTCTTCGCAGGAAAGGCTGTTGACACAGGTCATTTTGTTCATCCAAGACTTCAGCCGGGAAGTCTACAGGACGTCCAAAGGCTGGTGTCTTAGATGGTATGGTCTACCCAAAACCCCTAGAGCATCCAAGGGGCGGATATCCGATTCGACTTATGTGGCAAAAACTGACTGCCCTCCAACTGCCCGGGTGTTGCTTGTGGCTCACTTGACAATGGCCCGGATTGTGATGTGGGAAGGCGGAGCCTAAGGGTCCCTTGCTACATATTCTAACGGTGTTTCAACCCCGCCTAACCAACAAACAACATCCTATCTTGGCTTTGATGGGAAACCAAAAGGAACAGCACTAGGTCCATGGGAGTCTTCCCATTTCAGCCGAAAAACACTCAAACCAGCAACAACCCAACTCGGCGGGTTCTATGGCACTTTGCGCCACGACCATCCGGAAGGCTCCAAAAGGAGATTTGCCACATGCGGGCACCTCTGGTTCCTCGGAGCCAGCAACAAACCTGGAAGAGATCTGTACGGTTGCAAATCTCTCGCGGTCGCTCAAAAGTTGCTATGTCATGTGGCCGTATATCCCTCAAAGCACCTGACAGTCATTGTTGTCCACAATGATTTGTAGGTAACCGTTCAGTATGTTTACCTCTGGCTTTTGCCAAGGATGGCTTCCCCTGCTTACTATGCTAGCTCAAAGCAATTATGGTAGTCACGCCGCGGCGGCTTTCATGTATATCCACTGCTCCAAAACCACGATGATGACCAGAGCAAAACCGAGTTTGTACCCTTACGTAGTAGCTACAGTGGCTATATATCGTTAAACCCTTGAGGATATCGTTTTGAGGGTTCGTGGAAACCATCACAGACTCGAGCGCATGGGAAAAAACCAAACCCAAATAGCAACATATGCAAGATCTCCTGCCCCAACACAACCTTCCCCGGTGGATCCCAGTTACCTCTATAGTAGGCAACCAGCACTCAGTCTGTTCCAGCGGTTACCTGAAGGGAAAAGGAATCACTGGGTTTGCTACGCAAATTTAGACAATCCAAACTGACCATCAACTTGCTGGTTGCATGCTGCCAAGATGCTGCAGGGAACTTCGCCCTGGTGCCTCACGTGCCTCACTTGCCAGAAGGGGTGTCCCACGGGAACTAGCCTCTTTCTGGGAAGTGAGTCGTCTCCCAAAAGCCTCCCGTCAGCTTCCATGATTGTTGCAGACTGGGTACCCTCCTTGTTGCTGGCTTTTGGGTTGAAGAGGGAAGAAGTAAACTAAACATCTTTTGTGGGATAGGCGTTTGTTGACAGTCATGCCATGAGAAACCCGCTCCAAGAAGGAAAAAGATATCCCGACCACCAAGGTGGAAGACCGCGTCCTCTCCAAAATCATTGTTTCCCGTATATCCACCTTGCAGGAAAAAACGGGGAACTGCTTTTTGTTGGGCCCCCTTTGCACAATCACTGAAGGGGTGGCGACAAAACGCGGATTCCTGAAAAGGAAAGAACTAAGTAAAAGCATTGGAGGAAGCTGGGTCAGACCTAGACCCTCACAGTCCAAACAGTCATTTGTTTGCCGCCCGAAAGAGAAACTGCAGGAAACGGGCAAACCCCCCAGTTGAGTCTGGCAATGGGAAATAACAAACAGGACACTGACTGCCCTCACTGTATAACTGACCTTCGGAGACTTGTGGGTTCCGTGCTTGATGGGAGGATCTTCGACCTCCATCAAGGGAAAATTATGGTGCTTGGAGAAAGATGTGACATGTGTCAAGAGTTTGAAGGTCGCACAGGAAGACCAAGAAAACTGATGAAAAAGGTATTCTCTTTGCTTTGTCCGGGTTGACAAAAAACACTCCGTCCTCCCCTCAACAAGTGTGGGGCAATTGTCTGGAGGTGCAGGCACCCCAAACAATGTCTGTCTCCTTGCAAAATTCCCCTTTGGCCCACCACTCAACGGGTGACATTTTTCGGGCGCACACAGAAGACTCTTCAACTGGGGCGCTGGTGCAGCTCCATCTGCACCTTCCGCACCTTTTGCGCCAAAGGCCCCAGCGAGGCGAAGACGCCGTAGTCCAAGCCTGCGTCCGGCGAGGCCGAGAAAGCGACGGATATACCAGATGGGCGTCTGCTCAAAATGAAAGACCAAGGGTTACGCAGGTTTTGGTGTTTGTTTCCATTTGACAAGGTGCGTTTGTACATTTGTTGGAGCCAAGGCCATATGTACTCCTGCATCTTTTAGATAATTCTAGACCCCATTTCCAAGTAAAGGAACTTTCTTGGTGAGCTCGTATTATTTCAAGGAAGTCCGCCACAAAAAGAGACCATACCAAGCTTCAAGGAACCAACCACATGGACTGTCATATTTCCTCTTACTCAATGGCTTGTTTTTGTGGCTTGAGCTGAACAAAAAAACATCTTAAAACTCTTAGCCCAAGTTGTATTCATTGCAAATCCAAGCGACGGTCTTCATAAGCATGAGGTCCCCCAATAGCATGCCCCTTTAAGCGCATGAGGTCTCACGTGTATACACCGCTGCAAATTGTTTGCTAACAAAATCACTCGGCAAAATTGCTGGGATCTGCAGAAAAAAGAAATGCAAAATACAGAACTGGGATCATGCCTTACATTGACACATACAACGGGTTATTTTCTTGTCGGCTCGCTTGGAGATTGAATCCCCGCCAAACCATGGTTTCTACTGAAATTGCCCAGTGCAAACATCGAAGACCCAACCCCCAGAAACCCAGTGGTGGACAAAAAGGGACTTGTGTTTGTTGTAAGTCGATATCAAAGATGAACCCCCTCATGCGTTATTAGGGGCCAAACAGGGGGGGTCGCCAGATTGAGTAGTCACCAGCTTGCTTACGCGAACCCTCTGCGAACCCCAGCTGGGTTAGCCGAACTTAGCCGAACCTAGGGGGGGTTAGTGGAGGGTTAGTGGGGTGTCCCGCGCGTAGCCAGCAGGCACCAAAGCAATGCGATCCTTTTTGCGTCAAACCAGGCAGCCATCGTCTTTCAGTGGCTCACTAGAATCGGGGCCTGTCGACACACGATGCATCATCGGACAAACAACACAACACTTGAGAATCACAAAATGACAGTGGATGGCCTGTCTGATGGTGTGCTTGGCCCAATGGATGCGACCAAGCCTCAGCCATCATCCAGCTCCAGCAATAAGCACATGAGCGGGTCATGTTGGTGAAGTCAAGCCATGCACTAGCTTACGCGTGGGCAAAATGAGGACCGCTCCCTTGCAAATCGCCCAAAGCCTGGGCGTGAGGGATGCTTGTGAACCGCAAAACCATGGTCAACTGTCAAGGCCACGGGTTGGTGTGTTGCAGGTGGCTGGTGCTCGGGCGTTGGGTGGTTTTGCTGGTGGGTTTTGCAGCGGTTGGCTTTTTGCAGCTGGCTCGTTTGTTGTCGACGCATTCTTTATAAACCTGTTCTGCTGTTGGCTGGCCTTAGATGGTCATATTTAATCAAAAACACCACCCACACAACCACAAACATAAACACCCACCCACCCACCCACCCACCCACCCACCCACCCACCCGCCCGCCCTACCAGCCACCCACCCACCTGCTCCACCCAACGCACCCGCCCCACCCACCCACGCCC